TGTTAAGTACCTTCTAGGTTGAGCACTTCTACTACATAAAGTATTCAAGCAGCTTTTAGAATAAAACTATATGGCATGATCAAAGCTGCCGCCTAAGACTGTGAGAGCAGCCCTGTTGGATCAATTCACAGAGTCTAGCATTCTTTTCCCAAGAGTGGTGTTGGCCAGCCAGATGCCTTTGAGACACTCACAAGGCAGTAAGCATTATTGCTCCCCAGTAACTGGTACCGATACTGCCTATGAACCTGGAAATCCCCTATTGCCACCATGACTAAGAGCCACTGACGGACCCACCCTCTACAAATGTGTCCAAGGTCTTTTAAAGCCATCCAAGTACTGCTTCCTTTGGTCTGCCCTGAATTTTCTGCCAATCAGTTCCATCGGTTGAATCTGAGTTCTACTATTGCATGAGAGAGAACCTTCTCAATGCCCCTTCCCCACACACTATATAAGTTTAAAATAACTATTAGGTTCTTCCCCCAGTCACATTTTTCTTAACTAAAAAAACCCAGCCACTGCAACCTTACCCCATAGTCAAAGTGCCCCTGATTCATCCTGGCTACCCTTTTCTGTTCCTGTTTTTGAGATGGGCAAACCAAAACTAAACACAGCATTTCAAGTGTAGCCAGACCAGAGATTTAAGGGGAGTGCCATACTGACTGGTAGTTTTTCTATTTGATCCCTTTCCTAATCACCCTCACAAACCTGCCACACACTAGCTCAATGATTTCAATGAGCTACCCTCCACAATCCCAAGCTCTCTTTCCTGACACGTCACCATCAGTTTCAGACCTTTCAATGTATATGTGAAGTTAGGTTTATGCAGCACAAACATCCATTACATTATTCTTATTTGCACTGCACTCTATACGCCCTTTGAGTTAGTTTGCCAAGATCCTTCTGAAACTGCACAATCTGCTTGGCTTTCACTACCCACACTAATTTGGTATCACGTACAAACCTGGCCACCACACTGCTCACCCCTAACCATAAATGAACAAGTTTAAAATCACAGATCTTTTGAGATTAGATCTTTTTCCTTCTTACTCTTACTCCTCCTTCTTACTCTTCTTCTTCCTACTCTGTCTTTCCTAGTCCTTTTATTATTGTTATTTATTAAATTTGTTGGTCAATTTACAGTATCTTGCCCTAGGCAACTCAATAAGACTTAAAACAAACAATAAGACTTAAAAGCAAACAAACCCCACAGGGTGGTACCCTGGTTTATGAACTTAATCCATTCTGGAAGTCCGTTCTTAAACCAAGGGGTGCTTTCCCATAGCAGCGGGGGACTCACTTTACAAATGGAACACACTGAACAGGAAGCGAAACATGTTCTGCTTCCAAGTTCACAAACCAAAACAGCTACTTCTGGGTTTGCAGCGTTCTTAATCCAAGTTGTTCATAAACTAAGCTGTTCTTAAACCAAGGTACCACTTTATAGAGACATTAAAATCAGTGAGGGAAATACATTTAAAACATAATATAGTTATTTATTAATCCCTAAATCATGGTTAAGTATTGACCAGACTGCAGACCAGGGTGTGAAATCAAAGTTTCAACTGAGTTTGCAAAACATGTTTAAGCAATCCATATGCACCAAGCAAACCACAGTGAGGGTAATTCTCTGGCCTCTTTAGCCTGACTGCTGGAAGGTGCTTAATTTGTCTCTCTCCCACCACTTTATAAAGCGCCCACTGGTGTTTATATGCCACCCAGAAAATTAAAATGTTGTTTCACTGTATTTTGGACCGTAACTGGGATCATCAAGACAAACTATGGTTAAAACTAACTGGGATTGCTTTTACTTACTTATTTATAAAAGTATTTCCATACTGCCATTTTCATAAAATAGCAGGGTGGTGTACAACATTAAAATATAAAGCATCCTGAAAAACAATACAGATAAGCATTAACATGACATGCTAATAATAATAATAAATTAATCTGCTACAGAGGCCTGTTGGCATAAAAAGGTCTTCAAGAGATGCTTCAAAGTCAAAAGTGAGGATGCAATCCTGTACAAGTCTATTTAGAAATAAGTGATGGCATTCAATGGGTCTTACTCCCAGGTAAGCGGGTAGAGAATTTACCATGTCAAACACATACTTAATTCTTCGCTACATCTTTACGGAAGTCTTCCACATTCAAAGCTTTGGGTAAAGTTTCCATTTTGATTTCTATGCTCACATTTGTGTGCTTCCTTAAATGACTTTTGACAGTTCAGTTTGTAACCTGACCTGGTGTCATCCTTTCTACAAACATTGATTTAGAAAGCTGCAAATATTTGTTCATGCATTACACTAGGAAGACCCTCTTCAAAACGGCTGTTAAAGTTTGTTCAAGCATATACACACACTATTTCAAGCACTGTTTCAGAATCAATTAGCTGTCAGATATTTACCATTTTAAATTAAAATTCATTGTTCATTACAAAAGCTAGTGTAACAAAGACACAGTAAATGCAGTACAAAAATAACACCCACAACATACATATGTAATTGTGTATGTTTACTCAAAATGTAATGGTTGTCAAAATCAAATGAAGTCCAATTTAAATAACAAAATGCTATGCCAAAGGGTACCAGAGAATCTATTTTCTTTTTTAATTCTAGTAGGCCATCATGACAAACTCTGTAACTGGATATCAAACTTTACTGTCATAACATATTTTTACAACTAATGAAAGCAAATGTATGAAATGTATGAAAACAATTGTATTTTACTTTTTTTGGGGGGGGACTTAAGTACAGTGGTACCTCGGATTAAGTACTTAATTCATTCTGAAGATCCGTACTTAACCTGAAACTGTTCTTAACCTGAAGCACCACTTTAGCTAATGGGGCCTCCTGCCGCTGCCACGTCGCCAGAGCACGATTTCTGTTCTCATCCTGAAGCAAAGTTCTTAACCTGAAGCACTATTTCTGGGTTAGCGGAGTCTGTAACCTGAAGCATATGTAACCTGAAGCGTATGTAACCCGAGGTACCACGTACTCTTTACTAGATCAGAACTAAACTGTATGTCAATTAACTTCCATTGTGTTCCTTTTCCCTTGCTTATCTATGAACATATATCATGATAAAGGTTATGTAACAACTCATGCCATCCTGTTTTTAAATTCAGGTAACAAGAAGGTATTATCCTAGCCTAAACATTACATGTGTTATCAACAAAGCAGTTCTTATGCACCTTTACCACAGTGTAAGTCCTGACTATCAAGCAAGCAAACATACACACACAACTGCACAGATCAACCAGCAAACAGGGTTTACCAGTTCTGAAATAGCTGGGATAAAGAAAGAAGGGATAAACATTTTTAACTATTGGGCATTTCTTATTCTCCATTGCTCTATTTTCTTCTTCCACTTAAATAACTGCAAAATAAATGCTACCAGCAGGGGCGTAGCTAGCTGCTCTGGCACCCGGAGTGGTGGAGGTGGGGCAAGCTGCCCGCAGGGTGCTGCGGTGATCCGCGCACGGGGGGCAGGCACTGCAAGGGGCACCACAGTGATCCGCCCAGGGGGGCAGGGCGGCGAGCTGACCACAGAGTTCGCCTGGCAGACGCAAGCCCCAGGCTGCCATTTCAGGCAAAGTGGGGCCTCAAGCCACCGCGTCACTCCCAGGAGAGGTGCATGGCTCAAGCACACTGCAGGCCAGGCCCTGTGGTAAGTGCTGCCCCCCGCGGTGTGCCATTTTGTCACCCCCTCAGGGATGACACCCGGGGTGAATGGCATCCCCCCCTTCCTACGCCCCTTGCTACCAGTAAAGTTAGAAGAATATTTTTTAAATTCCTTCCTTTCTTGTTCTGAAGTGTGTCTACTCATAGATTTTAAGTGTCTACCCCTAAGGTAGCAACCTGTCATATCTGTTTTGTGTAAAGTGCCATGGGCATAGTTGGTGTTATTTAAGGGAACAAAGCGAAACAAAACTTTTTTTATTTACATGCTTAATATCTCTTAACACAACACTTCTTAAATCTCAAAGCTGCACCTTGTTTTTGTCCAGTCTGTGTCCAAGGCCTATGATGCACTGTATGCTAATATCACCTCCCATTTTTTAATATAATAAATCTTTGGAAGTCAGGAAATCGTAAACAACCTGAATATGAGAACTCCAACTGTTTTATCTGTAAGTGGCTAGCTAAGAGAATTGTTTCCCCTTGTAAATTACGGATGATTTGAAGTTCTGCTGAACAAGCTTAAATATTAGCTATACACCTCTCTCTGTACCTTCAGGCATGAACGCATCACTGCAGTAGATTCTTACCCACATTGCTGAGCATATTTTTTAAAGCCCATCTTCATAAACAATTCCTCCAAGTGTATGTGAACCAGGGTCACAAACATCACTCCTAGACCTCCACCTCAGTTCATTCTGGTTGGCTGTGTAGCTAAAGAAACATACTCTTCCATGTGAGAAACCGTAATAAAGTCGGGAGGGAAGGCAACTGCATGATATATTTAAGATCACCGACTTGCAACAGCAACAGCAGCAACAACAGCAGCAACGTGGGTGGGCGCCTGCAACAAACCTTTTCGGCTGCGCGTTAACTTCGCACGTTGCTGTTTGAGGCAGGCACTATTTGGAAAGCAAGGGAATCCATCATCCTAACCCTTTCAACGCCCTCGTGGAGACAGGATTCGTCGCTTGACAAGCGATTTCGGGAGGGAAAAAGCGAGGAAGTGAGCGCCGGAGCCACACCCACCTCCTGGACCTGCATCTCGGAGCCGGGCAGCCCTGAAGCTCCCTCTTTGGCAAGCGCCTGCCGGGCAAGGCGGAGAAAAACAAGCTTTTGCAGCGGGAGGCAGCCAAGCGCAGGCGTTTCCTCCCCCCCTCGCCTCATCCGCCCGCCTCCTCAAATGCTGATCAGAGAGCTGGTGGGAGGTTCAAAAAAACACACACAAACACACACACATTTTTTTTCTTGCAAAGAGGGAGCCTGTTTCTCTCCTCCCTCCCCTCCCCTCCCCATCAACATCCCCATCCCCTTGATGCGCACCAGCATTTGATGTTTTCCAAAAGGTGCACAGCTGGGAGCTGCGGCGGCGGAGGTTGTCGCTTCTCCGGTGTCCACCTCCGGAAGGTGTGCGGCAGTCTCCACGGGCCCCCTAGGCAGGTTCTCCCTCGAGGATGCCCAGCTGAGATCCCCTCATTCTTCTACCAAGGAAGGGGCGCGTAGTAGACCAAAGCATCAGGAGACTGGCTGGCGGAGGGAAGGAGCTGCTGCTGCAGCTGCTGCTGCACCGACAGCCGCCGAAAGAAGAAAGCCGCGCTTGCCAAGGATCCACCCTCGCGCGCCGCTGCGGCTCAGCCGGCCGTCCGGGGCGCGCAGCTGCCTGAGGCCGCCCGCCGGCCTTGCAAGGGCTGCAGCAGCAGTCGCCGCAACGGCGGTAGCGGCAACAGCAGCATGGTTCCCCCGGCAGAAACAGGCACAAGCCGCCGCCCCTCTGTGCCCTGCGCGCACCCGCACGGCGACGCACACCCTCCCTCCCACTCTAGCTCGCTCCTTTCCCCACCGCCAGCTGAGCCCGGCAAATCTCCTCAGGGCCCGCCTCGCCAGAGCAGCTCCCTCGGCCTCTCCCTTCCTCCCTCGCAGCCGGGCCCCGGCTCCGCCCACGTCGGAGCGGGGCGACCCCGCGGGGAAATGCGTAGAATCCCACAAGAAGCGGGGAAAGGGGAGGCAGAGGGTGCAGTCATTTCCTCGTGACGTGCTCCACTCTCCCTTCTCGCCCAGAATCAGTTCCTCCTCCTCCCCAACACCGTATCTGGCAAAAACACGTCCATTCCTAATGATATTTATTAATCTGTCATTCTCTGGACGGTGCCGTGTACACACAAGTCTGTGAGCTTGCGTGGAGCGTCCACATCTTATTAAACCGGGTTTGGGGTCGTTTTCCCTCCAGTGCTTCTCCAAGCAAAAAGTTCTACTATAATCATGACCTGTCCCACAGGGGAGCGCTTGGGCAGTGGCCCCCCAACATGGCCTTGTTTGAAATGTGTGTGCTTTTTCAAGCCCAAGGCCTTTTGCTGCCTGAGGGCAGGCTGGGGGGAAATGCCTTCTCCTAGAGGCAAGGTGTATAATACCCAAATTATGTTGGCATTTGAGATAGAATATGCTGCAAATGCCTCTCCTTGTGAGTAAAAAATACCACAATCAAGTAGTTTAAGACCTAAAAGCAGCCACTTTTAGACAGCTTCCTCAGTCTGTCAAATGGTAGAGCCAGCTCATATGCTGCCATTTACCTGCCTTCAACCACTTGTGTTTCCGAGCACCAGGAGCAAGGAAGCAGTCTCCCACCCACCCAGAAAATGCTCGTGACTATTGTCCATGCTGGCTGGGCTTGATGGCTGTTGGACTTGGGCAACATCTGGAGGACCTTGGTTTCCCCGCCCTTAGTTTAAACAAATAAGAGAGGAAGAGGGCTAACCTTCTGACTCTTTGCTTCAAGGGCTAGGCCCGAACCCATCAAAGTGTCATATCCCAAAACTAAGAAGCTCTTTGCCCTTCCTTGCAAATATTCCGTAATATGCTTGTGCTTGCTCAGTTGTGAATAAGAAGTGTATTATCTGCGTTTTTTCTGACAGACTCCATACGTTTCGTTCCAGTGCAAGAGTTCAGTGTGTAGTTTTTTGCATAACTGCATCATTAGCTTGCACTTCTACCTGTTCAGCTATTGAAGGCACAAGAGCTTCAGGCAGAAAAAAATGTAAGGGAAATCATGTAAAAGCTTTTTTTTTTTTTTTTTTTTTTTTTGAGAACTGAGATATTGCCCTGAAAAGTGGATTTTCCCATCATGGGTTGTGACTTCTCATTTCCTTCTTGACAATGCAGTTTGGGTTCTGTTGCAACTGCAGGACACAACTCCCCCTGCTTCACAACTCAGCCAAGATGATGGTTAGTGTTTCAGTAGTCAGAAGGGGCATGGTGTTGGCCTGTTTATGGGAGATTTTGAGAAGGCAGGCAGGGAAAACAGATTTCCCAGAACTTGCCTCCTATCTCCCCTCAGCATCTCAGCCATTTATTACGCTCCTCATGTTAGATCATATCTCAAAAAAAGGACAAACTACAAAGCAGGCACTGGTGGAAGAACAAGGTGATCAGATGCAAACAGTGTCCCTGTACCTTTAACAGTAGAGAACATTTTAAATTTGGGCAGGTGCAGTTTGTCATTCATGGGTAAAAAGGCTGCGCCTGCTGATATTATGCCTTCTGCATACCTGTGATAAGTCCAGAAGTCTTGTGCACCTCAACCCTGGGCCTCCTTATGGAAACATTGTTAGTACCGTACCTTACAAGCCTAAGTGTGTTATATATCCATATTTCTCAGTTGGATGTCAGCTTTTCCTATTTCTCCTGTGCTCACAGTGCCTCACCACTTATCTCCAGCAGCCAGAAAAAAACTTTATCTGCTCAATTTCTATTTTCCAGGCTGCCCTTAAAGGCACAAGAACAAGAGACATTAACGATATGGCAAACTAAATCCAGAGGGGTAAGGCCTCAAGTTGTTTTTAAGAAAACCCAGGGAGACACACATATCTGCATTTGCTTTATAATTCAGTGGGAGTAAACATGCATATGGGATTAGGCCGTGATACTATTTTGCTACATTTTTCTTCCAGTTTGAGGTACCTAAAAGAAGCCTACCTTAACATTGTGGCTGTCAAAGTATATGAAACTGTTCAGTAGCAGTAACTCAAAGAGTGACATCAATAACCCAAAGAGCTACAATTTGGCTTTGGATCATTTTTGCTTCTTTACAAACCCATATATACCCTGCTGACTTGTTACAGAGCTACTGCAATTCTAATCATGTCTACTCTGATATATATTCAAGGGGACCTACTCCCAGGTAAGTGGACGATACCGTAGACTAACAACCCAATCCTAACCATGTCTATTCAAAAGTAAGTTCTACTGAGTCCAGTCGGGCTTACTCCCAGTTAAGTGAGGTTAGGATTGCATTTTATAGAGTTTTGCAAATTTGCACTGTAACTTTAACGAAGGACTTCTGTGGTTAGGGGTAAAGCAGTGAGCTGGGCACACTAGTGCAAAGGATGTTCTTTCAGAACTAGAAATGCTAGTAGAGGTGATGCATGTTTACATTTAATTAATTCATAGTTTAGTTTTTGTTTGCTAAATGCCATAAATCAATTCTAATCTAAAATGTACTTTGCTATGTTATTGCTTTGAAACTGTAAACCAACAACTGATGTAAGTAAAAGCAATCATGTATTTACATTTAATTTCACTTCCTGAAGTATTTATATCACAGCTTTCATAGTGATTCTTCTATTATTTTGATATAATCATTTGTCTTATTCACAAATAGGTCAGCATGGTTGTTAACAGTCCCATTACCTCTCCATTATATAGGATACTTACATCATCACAATAATTCAGTAAATAAATTGGAAAACTGAATTTGTACAACTTCATAAATGAGATAGGAGTGGACATGTTACAGTAGCTGCACTTAGATAAATGTGAAATAAGTTCCAATAAGAGATTTCACTGATATGAAAGAGCCACTCTTGTTTGGTATAAATTGCAATTACCATGCTCATTATTTCTATGGAATGTATAATTTAGCTATTGACTTTGGTCCAAGGTCTAGTGGTTAGGATTTGGTCCTCTCATTCTGCAGCCTGGGTTTGATTCCCAGCCAGGGAACAATTGAATTGCTCTAAATTTAATTTAAATCCCTTTTTTAAAAAATGTCATGTGGCACCAAAAATAACAAAGTTTCTTACATAAATCAGGCGAAGACACAACTTTTCAGCTCCCTGGTGGTCTAGTGGTTAGGATTCGGCGCTCTCACCGCCGCGGCCCGGGTTCGATTCCCGGTCAGGGAAGTTGTGTTTTTTCAAAAGTTGTCATTTCACTTCCCGTATTACTTCGAGGTTTGCTTCTTAATTAGTTCCCAGCGTGGTCTCACCCACTCTGAGCAGAACTCACACCTGCAATATGGGTACTGTGATTTCAGTATTTTATGATTTGGTGCTTTACTGCTTTAATTTCAGGCTGCTATGCTATCCATGCTTTCTCATAAATTCTATTGATGTCAGTCGAGCATATTCCCAGGTGAACGGGGTTAAGATTGCAGTCTCAATTGGTTCCGTTATGACCTATCATTGCAAACTGTTTTGAGAACACGGTTCTGCTAAAACTCAACGTGCAAATTTTAACGACCACAAAACCCCCTCAGATTTGTAGTACTGTATATTGCTTTAGAGTTGTCTGTCAATAGTCTCGCGGTTTAGAAAACTTTTATATAATGTGGGAATGAATCCTCCTCCTTGGGACCTGTTAATTTTAAAAATAGTTAATTCTCGTCCCACCCGGAAATCTAGTTGTGTACTAACAAGAAAGTAGAAGTGTGTGAAAGTGAACGTTCTTGCACAGGGCTTGATAATCGCCTGCTTTATCAAATACATAGAGGTGTCGGTGAAAAGAAAGCTGGGCTGTGACAAAATGTTGACCTGTCAGGTAGTACAGGTTGATCCGTTGCGGATTTTCTGGGTTCAGATGCCATTGATCGGGTGCAGGAGAAACTATCTTTAGTCGTAACTACCTTCTTGCGCGCATTAAACCTCTATAATCCTAAAGTTGGGATCCTACGTTCTCGTATAGCTGCATGATAGGCAGAAATCGAGCAGGTTAACTGCACTCCTGGCACTTGCCTACTCACCGTAAACAACAACATCTCATTGAGTTCATCAATGACACTTAATCCCAAGTAAGCTTGCTTAGATGAAGGCAAGCTCCATCTGCTGGGTTCGTCCATCAGAAGTATTGCTAGGTGATGGTGACTTTTTTTTTTAAAGCAGCTGTAACTGTGCAGCTCAGAGACCCCTTGGACCCTGCTCTGTTATGCTACATCTATAACGCATTCAGCTCCTCGCCTTCACGATTTATTGTTCGAGATCCTTGTCTCGAAGGTTCAACGACACGGCGATACGAGCATTCAGACAGTGCTGTACAATTCAATACGTGTCCCAGCCCCAGTCTGCAGCGCCGCAGCTCTTTATAAAAGCAAAAAGAGAGAGGACTTTGTGTAATTATTCTCCCCACCCCCAAAATCAATTGCATCGAAATCCAGCAGATCGGCCTGAATAGAGGAATCGAATCGAACTGGTGGAGAAAGATGCCCTGATGATCTACCGTGATGCAAAGAAACAAGCAAAGAGAACGCGAAGGAAAAAATCCTCAAAATATATTTCGCATATATGTTTTGCTGATCGTGGTTATACTGGGAACGATAAAGATAGAGGAGGTCTTTGTTTATTACAGCCTTCTCTTCAATTCTATCCTTTAAAGGGTTCCTTTATTCCAGAGAGAGAAAGACTGAGATCCAGGAGCCGGTTGCTGAAGAACTTAACGCAACTGCAGCAACGCAATTCCTAAAATTGGACGTGCAAGTTTTTCAATAGATGCAAGGAAGAAACAGCGATGGGCATCCCGGGGACTGGAGAGCCTTTTCTCGGGCTCCATCCACCGGGCACGAGGAGGCGCTCAAACAGAAAGAAGTCGAGGCTCTGCGAAGGAAGGCTCTCGTCCTCCTGCGCTGAGAAACCGCAGAGGCGAAGAAGGGAAGAGCCGCAAAAGCAGCAGAGGGGCTTAGGGTGGTTTCGACAGCATCCCTGCGCAAGGTGCCCTGTGTGCAAGTTCGTGGCGGCGCACAAGTGCCTGCGTAAAACTGGGTTTGGGCCAGGAGGGTTTGGGGTTTGCCTGCTTCCGAGGGATGTTCTGTGTATGGACATTTTACAGGGAATCCAGT